GGGACGGGCGCCGCCGGCCGCTAGCGCACGCGCGGCGCGGAGCAAGGTGAGCGCACCGGGCAGGTGCGGGCGAAGTTGGCGGGGACTAGAGTCCCGGGAGGGAGCGGGACATCAGGTGGCCGGGGTTCGTCCACGGACCCCGCGGACTCGGAACACGGTGATCTTGGTCAGTGACCTGATCTGCCGGGGCCTCAGTTTCCTGGGCTGTAAACCGAGAATTGCTGATAGTAGCGACCCCTGGGGGTTGTTGAGCGAGTTTAGTAAGACTTGGCTATTTAGGGCTTTATTAACCCAGAGCCTGGCACGGAAACGACAGCATAAAAGTTACTCCGTGTTGTTGTCAAAGGTGGCGTCGGACACTGGATTCCATCCGGGACTAGAAGAACTCTAACTCTGCCTGCTTCTTTCTCTGGCCCCCCAGAGAGGTGGAGAAGAGCGGGTGTTTGAGAAAGAAGACGAAGACGATGATGAAGACGAGGAGGAGGAGGAGGACAATATATCAGAGGGCTCAGAAGTGCCTGAGAGTGACCGCCCCGCAGGTGCTCAGCACCACCAGATTAATGGAGAGCGGGCCCCTCAGAATGCGAAGGAAAGGGTCAAGGAGTGGTCGCCCTGTGGACCCTACCAGGGCCAGGATGAAGGGCGGGGACCAGCACCTGGCAGCTGCACACGCCAGGTGTTCTCGATGACAGCTATGAATAAAGAAGGGGGGTCAGGTAAGGACCCCCTTGGGGTCGGGCGGTGCAGAGCAGGAGCCGGGAACCCTAGCCTGGAGACTGACTGCCACTTGCTTTTGCCTTCCCAGCCTGTGTTACGGCTGCTCCAGATTCGCCATCTCCTGTGCCTTTGCCCCCAGGAAAACCAGCCCTGCCTGGGTCTGATGGGACACCTTTTGGCTGTCCGTAAGTGGAGGCGTTAGGAATATTGGGGTTAGCGCCTGGGCGTGTTGGACAATCAGAGCTGTATGGTAGTCATTGTTGCTCTCTGTTCTGATGTAGTCCTGGACGCAAAGAGAAGCCAACCGACCCAGTGGAGTGGACAGTCATGGATGTGGTGGAATACTTCACTGAGGCAGGCTTCCCGGAGCAGGCCACTGCTTTTCAGGAGCAGGTGAGTTCCCAGCCCGCGACTGCACACGGCTCCACCCAGGCCCTTGCAGGTGTCCACTGACCTGCCCTTTCTGTCCTGCCCAGGAAATTGATGGCAAGTCTTTGTTGCTCATGCAACGGACAGATGTGCTGACTGGCCTGTCCATCCGCCTGGGCCCAGCCCTGAAGATCTACGAGCACCACATTAAGGTGCTCCAGCAAGGCCACTTTGAGGAGGATGACCCTGATGGCTTCCTCGGCTGAGTGCCAGCCTTGCCCCTACCCCAGCCAGTCCAGATCGCATCACAGCGCCCTGACAGCCCAGGAACTGGACACGGGACACCCTTGACTCTCCTAACAGACTCCAGTGAGGGGGTACCCTCCTCCATTTTCCCCTTTTCTCACACCCCTACCTTACTACATCCCCTCTCCACAGCCATGGAGTGTGGGGTAGGAGGACTTGGTTGGCCCATTCACAGGGGCCATCTTTTCTCCCCAAACCAGGACATTTTTTGAAAAACAAAAAATCAGGGGAGCTTCCTGTGGCCCCCAAACCCTCTTCAGTTCAGCCAGATGTTATCTTATATAAGTGTTCTGTTCTGCCTATCCATCCTGGTGGTGGGTTCTCCTGCTCCACCACCCATTCCCTGCCCGCCCCCCCACCCTGACCTCTAGCCTCTGGAAAACAGGTGAGGTAAGGGACCTTGGGTCCTCTGGCTCCTTCCCTTTCTGTCTGTCCATTGTTGCTCCACCTGGCTGTATTGCTTTTTAATATTGCACCGAAGGTTTTTTAAATAAAACTTAAAAAAAAAGAGTTCATTTTCTGAATGGAGGCAGGAGGTGCAAAGAACCTTGAGTTTAGTGTGGGGGCAGGAGGGAAGAACAGTGACTGCTTTGCTCAGCCCCCAGAGACGGACTGACTCCAGGGGTCCTTTCCAAGCCTGCAGAGCGCCATGGTCCCATTCCCCAGTGCTGCAGAAAGGAAATGTATTTGCAGCACGCGTAGTCCCCAGCATTTCAGAGACAGAAGCAGGATCGGGAATTCAAGGCTAACCTTAGCTACTTAGTTCAAGGCCAGCCTGGGTTACCTGCAGTTCTGTCTCACCAAAAGAAAAACAAAAAAACAAAAATCTCTAGGAGAACCAGAATAGTTGCTTTGTCTTGTCATCTCATTCCAGAACCACCTGTCAAGCTTTTGTTGAGACTGTTAACTGCACACTTTAGTTGTTTCCTCTCTAGTTTCATGAAGCAGACGTCATAAAAACTCACTTTCTAGAACAGGACAAATGAGTTTGACGCAGTCAAGAAGGTGAGGGTCATGCAGGACAGTGTGACACCTGTTGCTGCTTTATCACAAGCCTTGTAATTAATGTATTTTGCTTCCTAGCTGTACTTAAGTGCCAATCAGTCTTTGCACTTGGATAGGAATCCAATCTACAAGTGTCAGAGGTGTGTTCTCCGACCAGGGCAGGCATATTGGAATAAAGGAGACAATGGGATAAATCAAATCACTGTCTGAGGGTCTTTATTGTAGAAGTGACTGGTAGTCACTAGTCTCTTGTAGGTTCACCGGCAGATCCCAGCTCCATCAGTGAAGAATCTGATCTTGGGAGTCAGCAGCTGGGGTGGAGCCTAGGCCTCTCGGTAACCCGCATTCCCCCGATTCCTAACATGTTAGGAATCCCCTCAGCTCGGTCAACGACCTGGGAGAGAAAAGGCGCCAACCTGCAGACGTCTATTGGGCCGGACTGGGGCTCCGCCCTTGGCATCACCCTGCCCCGCGCGCCAGGTGCCCGCCGAGCTCTGTGCGCAGTGCAAGCCCTGGCTGCGCGGCCCTCCGCGTGCTTCAATTCAAAAGAGGCGAAAGCCTCGCGGGGCGGCGCCGGCAGAGACGTCGAGGCTGGTTCGAGGGGGTGACGGTGCTCACTGTCCCGACCGGTCGGCCCCAGGTGTGCTGCCCTCTTGGGACGCCGCGGAGGCTGGAGGAGCCTGCTCTGGATGCCCAATGGCTGCGGAGTCCTGGTTCGCCGGGTCGCTGGCCCTGAGACCTGAAGTAGCACCGCCTTCGGACGATTTGGTACCCGGGCCGCCGCCCTATGGAGACCCCTCGTGGTCGCCCGCCGGGAGACCCGAGGCCTCAGCGGAGCAGGAGCCCCAGCGGGCACAGCAGCTGATGGAAACGCCAGCCTCCGCGTCCTCCAGGGAGCCACTGGCAGCGGAGCTCGGACCTGCTCGCCTCCCACTGGACTCCATGTTCAGCCCCATCACTGACCAGCTCCGTTATCTGCTTAGGAAGGCGGATGACTTTCAAAGCTACTTGCTCTACAGGTGACCAAGTGCTGGGGCCCAGGTTCCAGGACAGGAGGACAGGCTGTACAGCTCACACCAGGGACAAAAAACGAACTCAGGGCCCAGAGACTACTCACGGCTAGCTGATTAGGAATACACTCTACTAGTGTGCGGAGGGCTGTGGAGAATTGAGAGGCAGGGGCAGGCAATGGTGGGCTTTTGGGACACCAAGCGCCAGTCTTTCAGAATTTTGTTTTTGGTTTGTTGGTTGATTTGGCCAATTTTTTTTTTATAGTATCTCATCACGTTGGGATTGGCGACCCTCCTGCCTCAGTCTACTGAGTACTGCCTGCCAAATTTGAAATTCTCACTTAGTTTTTTTTTTAAAAAAAACAAAAACAAAAAAACCCTTGAAAGTCAGCCAAACAAAATCTATCTGCATTAACTCTGGCCAGAGAACTTCCAATGTGGGAGGCAATACTCCATTTCCAAGGAAAAATCCAATTTCTGGACCAGGGGAAAGGGATTGTCTGTCTGTTGGAGGCTGGCTTAACTCCCAGCTTTCTGAGCCCCACTCCGCAAAACTTCCAGAGAACTAAGTTGCGTGCACCTCCAAACACACCGGGGAGGGAACCTAGGCCCTTGTGCTAGGCAAGCACTGGGCCACAGCGGGGGCACTCCCGGCCCAGGTGTCAGCATTTTCACAAATCCTAACCGACGACGGATGCAGGTGGTTCTGAAAGATGAAGGAGAAAAAGACTTGACACCGGGGGATCTTTCTTATGCGAGCGCTGAGACTAAACCTGTGGCGAGGCCGGCCCAGTCTTGACCAGTGACAACCTCCCAGTCCCTCTTTTTATGTTTGATTTTTGGGTGCGGGGGATGGAACCAAGGGCTCCGCATGGGCTATGCAAGCGCGCTGACGCTAAGCTGGCACTGGGGATACAGGTGGTAAGCATGGGGCACCTGGAGATGGAGGGAGAGTGATGCCACGTGAAGGCCCCTTTCTCCCTTCAGCAGGGACCGCGTACAGAAGGAACAGCTAGCCAAGGCCATGCCCACCTTCCTAACGATGTGCGAACCTTACTTCCTGTACCTTGAGGCTGCTGCAAGGAGTGTCCCTCCAATCTACGGAGCTCTGCAGGAGCTGGTCCGGAAGGGGGTGTGTACCTTACCAGGTCCCATTCTCCTTGGGTTCCTGCCTAGGGATGGGAGGATGGCTTCTGGCCGACCATCTGAGGTCAGGAAATCTCCCACCTTCCATGCAGTTGCTGGAGATCTCCCAGCAGCTCACCCTGCGCTTGGAACAGTTAGTTCTCATGTATGCTTCCTTCGGGTTCGTGGACCTGGAGGAAACCAACCCTTTGAGGTAAGGGGGCAGGTAACGAGTTGTGGGGTGGCAGAGTCCAGGGCCCAGCTTGCTGTCCACTCTCTATCTCCTGCTAGCATCTCCTGCTTCTTCTGCGGGAGGTTCTCCATTAGCCCTTCCCACGATGTGTCCATCTTCCGGTACTGCACCCCAGCTGCGTACACTGCCAGTCACTTCCCGAGGTACCTCTATAAGAAGATGCGCTGGAACCTGGAAACCACCACAGAGGCCAGTAGCCAAGGACCAGACTCCCATGTGGATTAGTGAGTTTCCTTGTCAGAACCAAAACCCTTCCCCTTCCTATGTTGAATGTCAGCTTGAGCCTCTACAGCACCACCAAGAGAGTGAAAAGCAAGGCAGGAAAATGAACACCTTTTGCAGTGCTGGGATAACACCCAGGACCTTGCATCTGCTAGGCCAGCAATGCACACCACTGAGCCTCCCCTTCTTCCTTTAGTTTTTCTTAACTCCACTTCACCTTCAGATTGAGCCGCCAGGGAGGAAAGTCCTCGGCACATCCCCACATCCCCACCTAAGAACTTAAGGCAACTTCTGACAGATGAACTTGAACCCTCATCTCCAGAAAGAAAGCCCTCAGCAGAAAAACTGAGGGAACTGCTTTTCCTTCTGATTCCTCTCTCAGCTACTTCTTATGTTACCGAGACACATGGGAAGATGCAGGCCAGGGTCCAGCCAATTCGTGCCCCCAAATCCAGAAACTCTGGTCCATCGGCCGCTGGATGCCCCTAGGCCCGGCAGAGGATGACCTTGATTCATGGTAGGCTGTCAGCGATGGCCACGTGGGCTTGAGGTCGGAGGGAGGGTGGGACAGAACCCCACCAATGACTGGACCTCATTTTACTGTGCCCTGAAAAGTGCTTTATGTAGACTACACGGCAGTTCATAAATGTGTGGACCAGTCCATTTTACAATGAAGAAAACATGTTTTCAGAGTCCATAAGTCACTTTCCCAGGGAGACACAGGTAGGAAAGTGATTAACAGCCTCAAGTCCAGTGCTGCAACTCAGGAGTTTGTCAGCAGAGGAAACACTTTACCTTAGGGTATCCCCCCCACCTAACCGAAAGCCCCTCCCAGCCTTGAGGAGTAGGGCGCTCAAGTCCAGGCTTGTCTTCGGGCCCCCAGGATTTTGTGCCCGCAGCCACCCGGGGACTACCAGCAGTTACTAACCATCGGCTTCGAGGAGCCTTCGCATGTGCTGGCCACCGACCTGCTGGTACAGATCCTCATGGGCCAGGTAGGCCCCGCCCGGCCCCCCAGCGCTGCCGGACCCTCGGCTTGGGCTGCCCCGGCATCCTGAGCTCCAGGAGAAGACGCCAGCCGGGGTTTGATAACCCCAAACTCCAGGAAGGAACAGGGGCGGGCTGCACTGAGTACGCCCCGGCATGGGCCACCGAACACCAAGTGCGGACACACTTTTCTGTTAATAAAAGAGCGAGGTCAGAGGTTCTGTCTCCTGTGAACAACTGCGTCCCTCCCCGGGGACGGGTAGGCCCCGCCCACCGACGGGCATTCTGGGAAGTGTAGTCCGAAGACCTCGGTGAGAGAGCTGCACATGCGCAGATATGCAATGAGTCAAAGAGGGAAGTAGCGGCTCTCGTCAGCAACCGGAACCCAGAAAACAAGTTTCTGGTAGCAGGAAAATTCTAGGCCCGCTGGAGGAAGACTTAGACTACGCCGGTTTGGTGTTTGTTTTTTTTTTTTTAACCCGGAAGTGATTCCTATCCAGGATTAAAAAAAAAAAACTACATTTCCCGATGTGCCCTAGGAAACTGAAGGCGATTAATTTGTATAGTGGAGTCAGACTTTCTTCCAGCTTTTGGGATGTCCGAGTCGAGCTGATTGTTGTCTTGTCCCACGAAGAGTGTCTGGAGCCCAGGCTAGGAGAGTCCAAGGGAACTCTTATCAGTTTTGGGCTGGCAAGGAGGCTCTCGCTGACAGAAATGAACTGTCCTGCTCTTGAGAAGCTCTGTCAGAAGCTGTGTCTTCTAAGCAGAACTGGCCCCTGCTTAGGAATGGAGTCCTTCCTCCTCCCCTATGTCATCCTGAGAGGTCGATATTTGGATCCTAAAATTTTCACATTCAGACTGAGAATGTGAGACCCCGAACTATTGAAAGCCAGAACGATGCCTCGTGGTTTTTAAGTAATTTTTGCCGGGTGATGGTGGCTCACATCTTTAATCCCAGCATTAGAGAGGCAGAGGTGGATCTCTGTGAGTTTGAGGCCAGTTTGGTCTACAAAGTGAATTCCAGGACAGCCAGGGCAGTTACATGGAGAAACCCTATCTCAAAAAAACAATTTTTATTAGCTGGGCATGGTAGCACACACCTTTAATCCATAGCACTCGGGGAAACCAAGGCAAGTGGATCTCTGTGAGTTCAAGGCCAGCCTGGTCTATATAGTCAGTTCCAGGACGCGAGGGCTATGTAGAGAGCCTCTCTCTCTCTCTCTCTCTCTCTCTCTCTCTCTCTCTCTCTCTATATATATATATATATATATATATATATATATATTGTGTATGAACTTTCCCTACTTTCCCACAGAGGCCAGAAGAGGGCATCAGATATGCTAGGACTGGAATGAGAGTTGTCAGCCTCTGTGGGTGCAGGAAACTGAACAGGAGCCCTCTCAGAAAGCCCCCAGCGCTCTTATTAGCCACACCATCTTGCCAGCACCTTTCTTTTTGTATCCAGCTGTAGCCTTTTCTTCCAGCCTGGGCCTCCAGAGTGTGCCACCATGCCTTAAGCTTCAGGAAGTCAGCTAACAATACCTGATCCATGCTATTACGAGCGCGTTTTAAACAGATGTATCGGATGAGCAGACTTCAGGTAACACACCAAGCCGTGGCTCTTCCAGAGAGGCCTCTGCTAACCACAACAACTGCAGACTGTTCCCCTCCGCAGTTTGAGTCAGAATAACCTCAACACTGCTCTGATTCCTCCTAATATTGATCTGAGCAGCTCCTACGTCTATTCTCATCGCTCCTGTAAAAATCTTTGCCTCTCAGCACACACAGGCGAGCTCACAACCATTTGTAACTCCAGCTCCTGGGGAGCCCTATGCCCTATTTTGGCTTCTGCAGGCACCAGGCACTTGGATGATACGGCAAGAGAAAACACTCATACACATCAGAAGTATAAACACTGATGTGTTTGGGGTGTGGTTGAACTTGTATGCACAAGGCTCTTGGTTTGATCCCCAGCACCAAAAGTAAAAAGTCTTGGCTGAGCACAGTGGTGCACACCTGTGATCCCAGCACTCAGAAGAGGAGCTAGAGGATTGCTACAACCTGGAGGCCAGCCTAACAAAGTGAGACCTTGCTTAATAAGTCAGGGAGCCGGGCAGTGGTGGCGCACGCCTTTAATCCTAGCACTTGAGAAGCAAAGGCAGGATGATCTCCGTGAGTTCTAAGCCAGCCAGGACTACATAGTGTGGGAGGGAGCACTAGTGACGTAGCTCAGCAGGTAAGAGCACTAGCTGCTTTTCCAGAAGACCCAGGTTCAATTCCCAGCACTTGCCTTGTGGCTGGCAACCATCTGTCACTCCAGTTCTATAGCATCAGACACCCTCCCCAGGCCCCAGACATGCATGAGCACACACGCATGCACACACACACATGATGGTCTACAGAGTTCCAGGGCAGCCAGGGCTACGCAGAGAAACTCTGACTCGAAAAACCAAAAATTAAAATCAGGTGGACGGCTTCTGAGGATCATCTGCTGTTGGCCTTGGCCGCCACACACAGATGTGTGCATGCAGATGAACTGTCCCACAGACACACCACTCCCACCCAAGGACAGCTTGTGCCTGTGATTCCATTTGCCACCTTAGCGGCTCTCTGCTGTCTCACCAGCAGTTGCAAACACAGTCAAGGTCATAGCGGTGTAGACTCGGGAGCACCCTTCTCGGGCTGAGCAGCTCCTGAGTGAAACACCACATGGACCTGTCCCCTGCGTTATTTGCTGGCATTTCATTAGTCACTTCTGTAAGGTGAAGGTCAAGCCTGGTTAACACAGTGAGACTGTAAGGGCCGGAACTAACACATCAGGAATTTAAATCACAATGCTATTATTTAGTGGTGTGTCAGCGTGTATGTTATCATGGACATTCCATGGCGTATGTGTGGGAAAAAAAGTCTTGAGTGTCAACCCTCATCTTTCACCTTGGGGTTTTGTTTTGTTTGCTTTCTTAAGACAGGGTTTCTCTGTAGCTTTGGGGCCTGTCCTAGAACTCCCTCAGTAGACCAGGCTGGCCTCAAACTCACAGAGATCTGCCTACCTCTGCCTCCCAAGTGCTGGGATTAAAGGCGTGCGCCATCACCGCCCAGCTGTTCTTCACCTTATTTTAAACAAGCTGTCATTTCCTACTAAGAGCCTGCAGGACTTTGCATGCACAATGATTTTTTACTTGGTTTTTGGGGATCTGAGTTCATATCACCAGACTCGTATGATAAATGTTTTACCCACTGAGACGTCTCCTCAGCCCCTTAATTTATTAATTTATTATTTGAGACAGGGTGTCATATAACCAGACTGGCCTCAAGCTGTCTACATAGCTGAGGATGACCTTGAACTTCTGATCTGCGTGCTCCTACCTCTGCAATTACAGGCACCACTGTTGCTATGTTACCAGGCAAGAACCAACTGAGCTGGATCCCTAGCCATACACAACAGTTCTACAGTGTTCTGAGGTTCCACTTTCCCCAATCCTAGCCAGTTCTAAAAAGCTGTTATATTGCCCTGACGCTGTGAATTACACAGATGCTGTTCCTTCAGACAGTTTAGAGTATTTATCAGTAGTTAAGCAGGGTTCGCAGTGTACCAGCCCCTGTCCACTCCCACTTGCATTTTCCCGCTCTTGCAACTGGTCACTCTGTAGACCAGGCTGGCCTTGAACTCAGAGATCTGCCTGCCTCCAACTTTTAAGTGCTGAGTTTAAAAGCAAATGTGCTTCCTTACCAGTCCCACATGAATAATCTTAAAAGTTTTTTTTTGAAAAAAAAAAAACTTGATGTGATGACACAGGCCTGCAATCCCAACACTTAAGAAGCAGAAGCAGGAAGATCACAGGTTCAAAGCCATCATGATCCGCATAGCCAACCAGGGCTACATAGTGAGTCCCTGTCTCAAAAGATTTTTAAAGGGGAAAGAGGTTCCCCTTTAAAATAAAGTAAAAATAAGTAGTTTTGTTTCGTTTCAAACCCAGGGCCTTGTACTTGCCGGATAAATAATGAAGATTTGTTTTTAATTAAAGGATTTTTTAAAAATTATGTATGTGGCCAGGTGTGGTGGTTTACACCTCTAAATCCAGTACTCAGGAGGTAGAGGCAGAAGGAGCTCTGTGAGTTCAAGGCCAGCCTGGTCTGCATAGTTCTAGGACAGCCAGGACTACAAAGAGGAAAAAGCCTGTCTTTAAAAAAAAATTATGTGTGTGTGCATAAGTGTGTGTGCCTGTGTATTCCAGGGAGCCAGAGAATAATTGTGTGCTACTCAAAATTTTGTTCTGGGAACTAAACCTGGGTCCTCCGCGTGAGTAACAAACAGATTTGGGTTTTGTTGTTGTTGTTTCTTTGTGTGTGTGTGTGTGTGTGTGTGTGTTTGGTTTTCAAGACAGAATTTCTCTATGTAGTCCTGGCTGTCCTGGAATTCACTGTAGACCAGGCTAGCCTCAGAGAACCACCTGTCTCTGCCTCCCAAGTGCTGGGATTAAAGGTGTGTGTCACCACTGCCCGATAAAAGCTCAACTTCAGAGCCAACTCCCCAATCCTGAATTTTCTCTTTCAGGAACAGTTCCTAGGTTAGAGATAAGCCTCAGTGGTTAAGAGCACTTGCTGTTCTTGCAGAGGACCCAGGTTCAGTTCCCACCACCCATCTCTAGTAGGTTCATAACTGACTGTAACTCCAGTTCTGGGGATCCACCACATTCTCTGGACTTCAAGGGCATCTGTACATCTGTATTCACACACATACCCCAACACAAACACACACACATAACTGAAAAGAAAGTAAGTCTGGTGGGTGAAGAGATGGCTCAGCAGTTAAGGATACTTTTGGAGGACCAGAGTTCATTTCCCAGCACGCACATGTTGCCTCCTAACAATACTTCTAATTCCAAGGATTCTGATGTCCTCTTCTTGCTTCTGCAGGCACTACACACAAGTGGTGCACACACACACACACACACACACACACTAGCAAAAACTCTTATACACACAGCATAAATCCAAAAAATAGCTCTGTTAAGAACTTTCAAGGTAATTCTTAATCACAGAGAGAATTTGAGGCCAATATGGGCCATATGAGGGTGGGCAGAATACCCACTAGGCACTTGGCCCCTCATTACCACCATTGGGACTTTTATTTATTTAAAAAATTATCTTGCCTGGTGTTGGTGGATCACACCTTTAATACCAGCCCTTGGGAGGCAGAGGCAAGTGGATCTCGGTGAGTTCGAGGCCAGCCTGGTCTACAAGAGCTAGTTCCAGGATAGGATCTAAAGCTACAAAGAAACCCTGTCTCAAAAAAACCAACAAAAATAATTATCTTTACAGCTGGGTGGTAGCGGAATGCCTTTAATCCAAGCACTTGGGAGGCAGAGACAAGTGGATCTCTGAGTTCGAAGCCAACCTGATCTACAGAGTGAGTTCAGGATAGCCAGGGCTATGCAAAGAAACTCTGTTTCAAATATATATATATATGTGTGTGTGTGTATGTATGTATGTATGTATGTATATAATTATTATATAAGTATAATTTTAATTTATATGTATATGTGTACGTTTTGTGTGAATGTATTCAATGTACGTTCGGGTGCTCCCGAAGGCCAGAAGAGGTGAACGGATCACCTGGAGCTGAAATTAGAAGCAGTTATGAGCCTCTCATGTGACTGCTGGGAACTGAACTCAGGTCATTTACAAGAGTAGCAAGCACTCTTTACCCTGAACCGTCTCTCCAGCCCACCCCTGGCATTTTTCACTATTGTTTATTTCGCTAGAGCAGGTACAATTTCATAGCACCTCTTTCTAGCAGCTCCCTGAGCATCCAAAGGATGCCTTTGGCGTGGATAAAAGCTGAGCTCTGGAGACCCAGAGTGGAGTTTATGAGCCAGTGCGCAACATTTTGCACTCGTACCACCAGGGGGCAGTAGGGCTCCGACCTCCAGTCCGGGGTCAGCAGACAGCCCAGAGACCAGAGCGCTTTTCGAATTCCAACATTCCGGCGCGGTTCTCTCGGTGGCTTTCCTGAGCGTCCTTCACCCGCCCAGCTCTCGCTCCACCCAGACTAAGGGGGGGGTTCCAGTAGAAAAACAGCTTGCACTAAAGCCTAAGAAAGGAGGGAGTGGGGGAAACTTTATTTTGTGTTTCACTCACAGGTTTAGCGGGTGGTTGTTAGTTTTCCAGTGAAGACTAAACAATTTTAATGGAGAAAGGTGGTTAATTTCATAGTCAGCATCAAGAATGTGCAGGATTTCAAGTTGCCATTGAAGAGAGCTGGCCCCTTCCTCTCCAGGACTTCTGCTGATCCGGAGGGTAACTCTACCCTGGCTCTTTATTGGGGACGTCACTTCTGGCCATGTGTCCCAGCCTTCGCAGACCTCAGGGTCTGCGCTCCTACTAGGGTGGAGGGGAGAGAAGACCACCACCATCAGGGACAAGAGCTACAACCAGGCGTGGGGGGGGGGGGCGCGTTGGGGGGGGGGGGGGCGGTGGGGGGGAGGGGTGAGGCAGTTTGGGCTCCAGGTCCCAGCTCCTCTTCACTCTCCGGGTTGCGTCTGGGACTTCGAGAGTGGCGCTTCAGGGAACCGGGATGCACTTTTGCCTTCCCAGCGCCCAGGCGCTGCAGGGAGGCGTGGGAGAGCGACAAGCTTTGAAAAGTAAGGCTCCTACCTTCTCCAGGCCGTTCTCCGAGGCCGTTCTCCGCGGGGGCCAGATCACCGCCAACTTTCCGTCTCCCCTGCTCGCTGTGGGGGAAGGGACACTCAGCCGCGGCTGCCCCTCCTCTTGCTAGTTGGAGGATGGCCGCACCCCTTAAACACATACAGGTGTGCACTCCTACCTCCCTGTGGAGGCCTCCACCCAATTCTGGGGACCCAAGAACAGGAGTGAGGCAAACCTAGCATAGACAGGAACCTGAAATCTACAAGGGACCCGAAAATGCCAGAAGCAAGCCAAGGTTCCAAGACAATGTGTGGTGGATCTGGGGACCCTCACTCCGGGTATGGAAGTGGAGAATAGAAGGCGAACCCCAAGAAGAATAGTTAAGAGTCCCGGGAGTCTGCAAGCCTACAGATGAAGGGTCACTGGAGGTGGAGACAGCGGGAGTTCTGGGACCCGGGGTGACTGGCTTACGGGTGAGGCTCGGCGCTGGCTCCCGGACCTCAGCGGCCCCGTAGATACTGCGCCGCTGCAACTGCAGCTCCCGCTCGCGCTCGCGCACCTGGCGCACCTCTTGCTCCAGTAGCGACGGGGAAACCAGAGGCGGCGGGTGCCCCAGCAGCGCGCAGCCGTCCTGCATAGCGGGGTGCAGCCGGCCTCCCGCCTCCGGCCGCCGCTGCAACCCCCCGCCATCCTCCGCCGCAGCCTCAAAGA